TGTCCCAATGCTCACCTGTCGCTGTTACTGCATTGTGAGAGTGTCAAGGTGCCTGGAAGCCAGACAGCTTCACTCCATCTACACAACTCAAGCAGGAATGTGTATCCTAGGTTCTACCCGTGGTAACCTAATTCCAGCTAGGTTGGCCTGCTCCGTGACTTTACATTTTTTAAATAAGTTGCCAACTTTTAAAGATTAGATTTCATGATTTTAGAAAAATTCAAACTTCAGGCTTCTTTTGAAGTGCTGGAAGGAGTAGAACACCGACCGGGGCTGGGACCCGATGGAGGTGCATACCAGCTTCTTTCTCCCGAGAGGAGGGTCAGACAGCCCAGGCCTGCCCTGATCCAGGTCACTCACACACATGAGTCTCAGGTTCATCTAGACTCTGGCCTTCATAGCTTCTCCAAAAGCTTCCATTCTCTACATTCCTGCACAGGGCTACCACAGACCCTGATCAAAACTCAGAATGTGCCTTCTGAGAAGAGTTAGAACCAGAACCTACCACCTCAGCTGGGCATGGTGGTATACACACATGCACACATACATGCACACACGTGTGCGTGCAGGTGCTCACACACACACACACACACACACACACACACACACACACACACGATCAGAGCAACTGGAAACTTGAGGCAGGAAGACTGCTACAAGCCCCAAACATCCATGTATGATGATAGAAAACTACATGATTAAATACAAAAGTTGAACTCATTATGTGCTCAAAGAAACCCCAGGGAAGTGTCTAAAAGATTTAAGGTTATGGACAAAGGGGATATTAAAACACTGAAAGGTCAATGAATTGGAAAATAGATACAATCAATATGATGGATGAATGGTTATGATCCTCAATTAAAATTCTGTAAGGCAAAGGAGAACTGATAAAAGATAAATACACCTTCAAGTAATCCACAGGAGAAATACAAATGATCAAAGGACCAAAGAATGTACAGGGAGTCAAATGACCCTTTAACAGAGGTCATCCAAGATCATCAAAAAATCCAGATATTTACATTATAATTCATAACTGTAGCAAAAATTACAGTTATGAAGTAGCAATGAAAATAGTTTCATCATTGGGGGCCACCACAACAAGAGGAACTGTATCAAAGTGTTGCAGTGTTAGGAAGGTGGCAATCACTCTAAGGAAGTGACTACAAATGAGATCTCCATTTGCATCTCACACACAGACATAGTCAACAGGAGTCTGTGGACTGAGAGATATATTCCAGACGCTATCAGTTCAGGAAAGAATTTTCTTGCAATGACATGAAGTTTAGGGTTCAACAGCATAAGAACCATCACGCACTGTGGAAAGTAATTTTGCAATGTATATCAAGAGGTATAGAGTAGTTCCTATGACCCAGTAATTAAACTTCTTGAAAATTACCCTAGGAAAACCATCAGCATGGTGGACAAAGATTAATGTATGAGGGTGTTAATCACAGCATAATTTGTAATATCAAATATATTAGAAACCTAATTACTTAACAATATGGAGTGATTAAGTAAATTACAGAACATTCAAATGATGTCTAATTATGCAGTCATTAAAATGACATGTTCAAAGGCCATGTATTGATTCAGGAAAATGCTCATGAAAAAAAGTTTAAAGCTTGCATTTTGAGAAGATTTTCATGTAACGAATTAAAGTGACTGTTGTTACTTTCCATTGATTTACTATTTAAAGCATCTTCTTGCCCACAAAGCCTCTAACATTTATCCATTTATTTCTTGTATCTCTTTCTGTTATTTTGTGTTTTCAGACGGGGGTCTCATGCAAGCACCTAGGCTGGCCTGGAACTCACAGCAGTCCTCCTGCCTCAGCCTCCTGAGATTAGGGATTATAAAGGCACGAGCCGAGATGCCCTGCCCTTTCCATAAACATTTGACTTCAGGTGAGAGTCAAAAGAAGAGACTCAGACGACAAGAAGATGAATTGTTTGATAGAGCTAAAGAGGTGATGTAGCTTCACACGTGACGAGCTTCTACGGAGGGGTGGGAAATGTACCAGACGGTGGGTGGTGACTGCTTCAAGAGAAGCCCTGACAGAGAAGGGATGGGGAGCAGAGGCGACCTGGAGATGGGGAGGGCAGAGCCAGGAAGCACTGCTGAGTGGCAAGGAAATTCACAGCACAACACCGCAGAAATCAGAGCTGAAGAAATTTCCCTTCGTGATGTATTAATAGTTTTATGTAGATTAGACAAGACAATTACAAGAAGCACTGTTGGCTTCTTGTAACCCTGACCACAGGAAGGGCCCAGAGGGATGTCACGGTGGAAAAGCAGAACCTTGTCCCTGCCACGAGAAGCACTAACAACAAAAACTGAAAGTCTGCGGGCACCAAAATAAACTGTCTGCGCAGAGGACGATTGTAGTAAAGTCAGGAGGAGGGAGCTGCAGCTCGGTTCTTGAATGACTGGGCTGTGCAGGGGCAGACTCAGAATCTGCAAGGTCATCAGCTGCCTGAGTGCCTCACTCCCACCGCAGGTGACCTCAGACCTGGATCTGGCACCGTACTGCACAGCTACTGGTCCCCTCCAGGGAACAGCTGGCCATCTTGTACGCATTTCATGTGTACCTCTGTGCAGGGGCTGTTTGCACAGTAGGTTCACAAGGAACACAGCTGGCCGAGAAACCAAATAACACTCCAGCCGAAAGCTAGCCATAGGACCCACACATGGAAGAGTCAAAAGAGACCAATGTGGGTGAAAATTGCTAACATCTCAAGGAAAACGAGTGGTATAATTAATTCCGGAAGGAAACCACACATGCTGACGAGGGAATGACACCTTGTATCACTGAAGGGAACAAGACGAGTTACACACACCAGCAGAACCACTGAAGGGTTCTGTATGTCTGTGCCTCTGTGAGTCTCGAGTCTGCTCCTACAGCATCTCTGATTCTAAGAGGGACCTGTTTGGATAAATCACAAGGCCAATGAGTCCAGCAGTCCAGAGCCCACTTGCTCCCTTTCTGAGCCTGGTCCTTCACTCTGGAAGCCTAGCTTCCCTTTTGCAGCTACACAGCATATCCTTGCTGTTCTGCTGTTCTGCTTTTCCAAAGTCTTGTCTGGAGGAAGTTTGGTAAGAGCCGTCTACGGGACCCCAGCCATTTCCGAATCTGCTGCTCTCCCCCTTCCTCTCAGCAAGTTGTTTTTGACCCCTGGTGACCCCTGGGTGGCTTGAATTCCTGCTCTTTCGTCTTTGAACACATTGTTTCTCTCTAAGAACGTATTTGTTCTCAGCTCAAATGCACCACACTCAGTGCCCCTCACAGGGTCTTCATTCCCCTGCCCTCAGTCTGCCTTCTCTGCTTCTGCTCTAGCTGTGTGTTCTCCTTCCTTCACTCCACGGCCACCTCTAGCATCTGCATTTTCTACTCCTATGCTCAACCTACTAAAACGGTGCTGAGCTAAACGTGAGTCTTGACTTCAACGTTTGGCTGTCCACTCTCCTGCTGGTGTCTCGAGACTTCAAGGGTACGGGGGTTGATTTGGATCCAACGCCTGCAATTGTGTTGGTTTAGCCTGACTGTGGGGTTCATGTCCCGTGGCGTATGTACAAGGCCAGGCCTGAAGCATGCAGCTGCTCGCCCATGCTGAGGGACAGCCTTCGCCGAGAGGGGAAGACCAGCTTCCAGTGAAGAGTGTGCAGGTGGGCTCGACTCCTCTTAGAAAACACCAATGCTGCTCGCTCTGCCCCAACCTTCACTGCCTCCCCGCACCAAGGTGTTACAGACTCCGAGGCAACCCTCTGCCCCAGACACACTAACTGTGTCACTGTGTTCCTGTGGCATGGCTTGCAATTTTAATTCTCAGCCTAAGGGTTATTTCTTTCTGTTCACATTCAAGTTCATTTTCTACTCTTCTTTTTTTTCCCCTAGCTTGAATCAGCTCTGTCGCCTGACTTTTCTTTCTCTGAAATGGGACTTTCCCACATCCTGAATCTCCGCCTTCTCACTTCCTTCTACTTGTCTCTTGGCTTGGCTTTTGGTTCCTCAAGGCCTAAAATGCCTTTCTGTCTCCACAGCTGTAACTCGGCTGCCCTCACGCTGTGAATGGACAGACTATGAAAATCTTGCATATGTCTAGGTATTGACTATATCACAAAAGAGCAACAGTCCTGTGGTGGGGCTCTTAGACCTGGATTCCTTCCTTGAAGATGTAAAAAACATTATTCAAGTTTATGTCCATTAGGTGAACATCTGAAGGTGGAGGGCACAGGAAATGTCCAAAGAGCAACCTTCACAATCTGACCTCCATCAATCAGTATCTATTTCATCAACAGATAAGATGGGTAGGAAAACAGACAGGAGAGGCTTGAGACATTTTCAAAGCCTGAACTTTATCCTCTCAAAATGATGGAGCCATTGGCAACAAAAATCAAGTCACTGTGTGCACATTTAGAATTTTACATTTTAAACCTGTCTGTGTTAGATGATGCAAGTTCAAAATCAACCATGTTTGTGGAATTGGGCTTACCAAGCAATGCTTATCAATACTTACCAGCAATGAAACGGAAACACCACTCTGAAGAAATTTAGGACTTAACTTATAAATTCCGGGAGTCCAGTGGGGAGGACTGAGAGGTGCAAGCCTAATGACTTCTATTAAAAGTTTGTCAATATGACTGAACGCAGAGCTCTCTCTGGGCTAGCCCTGGCTAAGTTATAGAATACCGCTAACCCACCTCTTCACACCCTGCCTCCTCAGAAGCCTGTCTTCCCTCTCTCGAGGCTCTGGTGTGAGAGGCTTACTTCTTCCAGGCACAGAAGTTTTCTCCCAAGCCTCTTCTTCTTGTCAATGGCTCCCTAGCGGACCCTGAATTGCACAATGGGGCATTCTGCCAACTTACTGTTTTCTCTGACTGAAAGCAAGGAGGGTGGGTGCTGAATAAATAAGGACACCAGAAGGTAGAAATACAATAATAAGGCATCTGCATGAGACACCATGACCAGGTAAGCAAGATACTTGCTGATAAGAATGTGGTACCTGGTGGGCCAGAATGTAGATGTTGTGTCCAACGTCCTTGGGAGAAACCCCGTCATCCCCTCCTTCCTCGTCCCCGTGGTCACACTCCAGTCCTTGGTTATAGGCGTTCTTCATCACATCCACCTAGCAATAAATAATAAATAAGTAAATCTTGAGAAAGGGTCTGGAAGGTGGCAGCAACACTTCATATTGTTTGTGAGCTATAACTTAAAACTGGGAAGCTTCATGACAGCCAAAAATAAAGCAGCTCTAAATAAGCAAATACTGCATTTTTCTCTTCTCTGCAGACTCTAGACTGAACTGTGTGCATGTGCCAGTCTGTCGGGTGTGAATGTAGAGGGCACTGTGAGAAGACAGAAAGAGACAGAAGGGAAGGGAGAGTGCTGAGACAGGGCAATGGAGTACGCATGAAATAAAATCGGCAGGTATATAGGGTGAAAGGGGGAACCGGCGAAGGGGAGACGGGATAGACCACGTGACGGGGACCAAAAAGAAAGAAGTGTAGTGGCTTCCACTGTCGACTGGACACAGCCCAGAGCTACCTGAGGGAGTTTCAATCGGGAATGTGCCTCCCTAAGATTGGCCTACAGAGCATTTTCTTCATTGGAATTGATGTGGGAGGCCCCGGCCCACTGTGGCTGGTAACATCCCTAAGCAGGTCTGCCCGAGGCTGTGTAAATGAATGTGAGCCAGGGCATTAGCCAGCAGTGCAAGCCAAATAAGCCCTTTCCTCCCCAAGTTGCCTTTGGTCATGCTGCTTTATCACAGTGGGAGAAATCCAACTAGCTCAACTTATTTGTGCCAAAGCGCCATAATAAGAACTAATAATATCTACCAACAGAAAATAATTTTTAAAATATTTTTTGAAAACCACAGCTATTTAAGTGAACATGGAATCACTGTGTTCCCTGTTTACGGCGTATTTAAGTGAACATGGAATCACACTGTGGCAATGTTCCCTGTTTATAGCCAACACTTCTGCTTCTGTCTGTGAACACTAGCACGCTGAAGTCTCCACGATTTAAGAGAGTCTGGAACCCTGAGAAATATCCACTGTTTACTGAGCACTCAAGAGGGAGCTGGGGACAGGGTGCTGGCACCAGTGCTGGGCACTGAAGAACCTGCGTGGACAAGGAGAGTGCCTCTGCCCAAGGGCGTGCACTGTTGTATGACAGGTCTCCGGCAGGCACCTAACTCAGCTTGAGGGTGGATCATGGAGATGACAGAAAAGGGTTAAAATGGCAGAGGGGACTCTTTTCAAAGTGAGTGCACAGTGCTCTGTCAAATAAATTCATAGCCATATGCCCCTTAACCAGAGTGCAATTCCTAGTCTTACTCTACTGCCTGGAGAGACGAGGCTCTAACTAAAGAATGTCTTCTCTCTCCATCTCCACTCTACTCTTCACCAGTGAGCCCAGAGAGTGTGGCACCAGCCTCCCTTGCAGTCTCCACAGCACCAGCAGCATCACTGACATGACAGGACTTTGTCACTGGCGGGAGGGCGGGCACACTGAGCAGTATGTCTTGAGCCTGCTCTCTCGGGTATCTGGAACCCATTGCTTTTGAAGCATGCCCGGATGACATCATTGTTTGTGTGCCAGAAGGCAAAAGAAATGGAGCTTTTAACTTGTGCTTGTGGAGTCCTGATTGTGTCTCCCTCTTTCTCTGAGGCCAGATGTTCTGTGACAGTTCATTCATGAGAATGATACACAAAACACGCAAACGAATTTATCTGTGTTTTTGGAAATGTACAAACAAAACTCGGGGGTGTGGTAAACACAGTCTTCAGACCTTCCTTACAAACCATCATTCCTGGGTGTTCTGGGGACCCGGCTTCAGTACCTCCTGAGGATTCCAAGACCTGGGGATACTCAAGTAACACTATAAACTGGAGCAACTTGCATGAAAACCACGCACCTATTTGCACCCTCCTGCATACTCAAAAATCATCTCCAGGTGGCTTATGACATGCAACATGATGCAAACATGTGAATCATTGCACCGATGGGAGAAAACAGGGTAAGAGTCCATAAGTGTCGGTGCAGTGTGCTTTTTAAAAACTCTTCCAGTCCACAATTGTGACTCTATAGGGCTGAGCCCACTACTACAGACAACTATACCCAGAAATCATTAAGCCAAGATAACTTTTCTTTTTTTGCAAAAGGCATTTGTATATAGTTAAGTAGTGTGTGGAAATTTAGCAAAGAGAAGTGCTTAAAGTCGATAAAACTGGCAAAATCAGGCTGGAGCAATGGCTCAGGGTTAAGTGTGCTTCCTGCTCTTGCAGAGGAACCCAAGTCCATTCCCAGTACCCATGTCCAGGCATGTACAACAGCCTGTAACTTTGGCTCCAGGTGTTCTGACACACTTTTAGAGCCTCTAAGGGCACCAGAACACATGTGACATACATATGCATGGACACACATACACATAAATAAAAAGAGAAAACTAATTCTAAAATAAAACCTGGTGAGTCCACAAGCCTGAGTCACATGGTCCTTCACCACCCTCCCTGAATTTAGGCCATGGTGCTCCTGACAGCCCTGCTGGAGCAGCGAGAGATGCTGCCCCTAACAGACAGCCTGGGCAAGTGTTCTTACCAGCTCCCTAGGTCTCATGTTGAAGAGAATCCTCTCTGCGTTCTCGCTGTCATGTCTGCTCTCCATAATAGCCAGCAAAAGCTTGGAGGCGTTGTTCTGGGGACAAGGACAGGGTCAGTACATGCGCAAAGTCCACACCACAGATTAACAATCCCTGGCATCTGTGTTAACTTAGCTCACTGGCACCCTTTGTGTTTTCTCAACCAGGTGAAATTTGAAACTTCTTATTTATTTTGTCTAACTAACGGACAATAGAATATTTTATTCATTATCAATACAAAATAAAAGCAACAAGTCATGAAAATGGGGGTTATTTTATAAGGATTTTTTTTTCTGAGACAGGGTTTCCCTGTGTAACAGTCCTGGCTGTCCTGGAATTCACTCTGTAGACCAGGCTGGCCTCTACTCACAGATCCACCTGCCTCTGCCTCCCAAGTGCTGGGATTAAAGGTGTGCGCCACCACTGCCCTCCCAAGGGGGGATATTTTAAAATTACAGGTGTTTTAAATGGAAGACTGACTAGATACTACATTAAATAGAAATATATTTTCTTCCAATGTTTTTTAAATTGGATTTCTATGATGACACTTTAACACAACAGAGAAACAGGAATCAGTGATATTTTATGGACATGGTATACATATAAAGAATTCAGTACAACCACTTTTTAAATGAAGTAATAATGTTACTCTAATATTGAAATTTTACATAAATTTGTGAACCACCAGTGAGAAAAGTTGTAAGTTCCTGAGTTAGAAATATAAAGGTCATTTCCTGATAGCTCGTTTACCTCACCACATGCTGAGTGACATTGTCTACTATTCTCTTAATATAGAATTAAAGCAGTGTATGTTTCAGCTGTTACAATTTTGTTTTTAAACACACTACCTCAAACACTGTTGCTTAAGATATCAAAGTAAGAGGCAATTTTCAATGCTGAACGGGTACCAGAGAGTCACCACTGGAAGTGCTCTGTCCTCATTGAGATAAAACCTTACTCTGTCTGATGTGTCTGTGTGTCTGTATGTATGTATGTGTATGCATGTGTGTGTGTACATGTGTGTATGTATGTGTGTATGTGTGTGTGAGTGTATGTTTATGTATGTGTGTGTATGTGTGTGTGAGTGTGTATGTATGTTGTACATGTGTGTATGTATGTGTGTGTATGTGTGTACATGTGTGTATGTATGTGTGTACATGTGTGTGTATGTATGTTGTGTGCATGTGTGTGCATGTATGTGTGTGTACGAGTGTGTGTGTGTGTATGTGTGTGTGTGTGTGTGTGTGTGTGTGTGTGTGTGTTATGTGTGGGGTGTTAAAGACATGTCTAAGAGACTCGGAGTTCTCATGGTTTTAGAATGAAATAATTGAGCTGAATCCATGTTTGGTGTAGGAGGATAAAGCACTAATTGATAAGATCGTGTAAATTAACTCTTGTTAAACTTGGTCCTACATTCTGTCCAATGCTCCCAGAACTTCCAGATGCCACCTTTAAAGGGATATCTAATGATTCTGAGGATAATAAGGGTGACGTCGGGTCACACCAATGCCACAGCCACCACAAAGGATTTCAGTGCAGCGAGAGGGATTCTACTTTTTTTTTCTGTCCCATATTTGTATTTTACAAATATTTTCAAATCCTACAATCCACTTTTATAATCTAGGTTCCAAAAAACAAATGTTTAAAAAAATATGGTTTAGGGATTAGAGCGGATGACGGGTCCTTAGTCCCACATGAGCAGAGCTGTCAGAATTCCGAGGTTATACCTCAGCATCTTGGGGCCTGTTCTCAGATGAGCCACTCTCTGCAGGGCCAGTGAGAAAGGACTTTAAAATGTATCCAGTTCCCCAACACCATTGGCAGTGTGGTGCTTTCAATCAAATTTCGTACTTGGTGAGATTAGAAAGAAATCTTGCAAATAACATCCTGAAATCTGAACCGATCTGGAAGTACATGAGCCTGGATATACTGAAAAACCCAACAGACATACTCCTGTTAGCGGGATTTTCCTTCCAATGGAAGCTGGAGTGTTTCTAAGCAAAACACAGACATCACCTCTTAGCAAATGCAGCACTTTGCATTCACAGACCAGTTACGAAAACAAAATACAAAGTGAAGGACGAGACAGGCATCTGAGAAATTCATTAAGCCATACATTAAATGAATATATAAAGCATATTTAAAACTGTAATTTGTATGATATTATATTTAAATTATATTATGTCATATGGTATATATTCATAGCGTTATCTTTTATTGAAGGTATATTACTAAAATTATGGATAATTAAGCCATCAGATCCAGGAGTCAATGTTACTAAATAATTATTTATAGTGCCTCATCTCATGAACTTTCCTAAACTAGCCAACATATATAATTCTGCCTTACAGGTGTTCTCTTACCAGGCAATAATAATAAAACAAAATCTTTAGATTTAAAAAGTACACTCATCTTAGTCCTTAAGTATAAAACCATATTTAAAGTATTTCAAGAGAAACAAACACATGTGTTGCTTTAGGTGCAGCCTAATGTAGCTGACTGCTGTATGCTTGAATAAATTGTGCTACTGAAATAAATAAAAATTAAATGATCCACTTTAAAGTAATTTAACTAGAACACCTAGTATTTTGATTCATTAAATCATTATTTAATTTTTCAAAGTAAGATCTGCCTTTATAAGTAACCTGCATGCCCATAAGCTGTGTTAAGTTTATGAGTCATTCACCATCTCCCTTACAGAGCCCTGTGATTGACAAGCCAGATTTTAAAATACAGCCTTTAAACAAACAAAGAACTTTAGAGGCAAAGGAGGAGGCCTCTGGATGTTGAGTCTTCAGGAATTATGGCTAAAGTTGAATTTAAGAGAGAATGACAAACTCTTTTTAGTGCTTCCAGTTGGGTTGCCTGTCACACACACTAGATGCTCACAAACCGAAGCAAAGGCACAAGAAGGGCAGCGGGGTGTGTGTGTGTGTGTGTGTGTGTGTGTGTGTGTGTGTGTGTGTGTGTGTGTGTGAGAGAGAGAGAGGGGAGGGGGGGGGGGGGTTAGATCTTATACACAGTATGGATTGTAGGGAGAAACCCTGATTAAGAGTTACTGCTGACCATGCCCAACAAGGGTTTAAGAAGGAGGGAGGCTCGCACGCGGCTCTCTTTCGCCTGGCTGAGCTGACTGGGAAGCATTTCTGGATCCATCTTGCTCAGGTGCAAACCTGGTCACTGGCTCCCTTTCGTGAGTGTTTTTCCCCCAATAAACTACCATTTATCAACCTGTCTCTGACTCCACTTTGTAAACATCAATAATGGATAAAAGCGGTAAAAACACAAATAGAACCCAGCACACTATTCCCAGAAGTGGAGTTGGATATAACCCAGCACATACAAATAGCATTTTAGATTCTCCTCGGCCACTCACCTGCACAAAGTTCAACCTAATTTTCTATCAAGTTGGATAGGCTTAACTTTACAAAAAAAAAAGTTATGTTTAACTATGTGAAGAGTTTTGTTTGCATGTGCTGTGCATGTGAAGGCCAGAGGACAGCCTCAGTCATATCTTAAGTATGCCCTCTACCTTGCCGTGTGAGGTAGGGTCTCTCAATGGCCGGCAGCTCACTGATTAGGGGCTATGTTGTCAGGCCAGAGGTGCTCCTCTTCAGCGCTAGGCTTAGAAGGCCTATCCCCACACTTGGCTTTTCCAGATGGTTTCTGGGGGAGCAAACTTGAGTGCTGTGCTTACCAAGCTATTTCCTTAGTCCCTGCATTTGCTTTACACCATCGTAAACACTCAACACAATAATGTGGCCTCAAGTAACTTATCTAACTTGAGTATTATTTCTTAGCATGTAAGATTTATGTACGTTGTTGTGGTTTTCATCTATTTATCTCTTTTCGTTTGAACAAAAAATATTTGATTGCCCTTATATGCCTAAATTTTGATAGGTAGGATTTTCTGGAAGCATACACCAGGCTCAAGACTAACACTGTCATTGGGAGGCAGCTAGATCCTAATATAACACAGTAAGAAGGAAGAAAGACCTTAAACTAAAATGCAACATTCCTTTATGTTAGTGAATTGTGACCACTAGATGGAATTCTCAAGCCAGGGAAGATTAGAAAGCCCATGTCACAGTGCATCTCCAACACCTTTCACTTCTGTTTGTAATGAAAAACAGGAAGTTAAAACAGGGGAGAAGAGGTGAGGGGCAGCCTCAACATCTCTACCACAGAACCTCACAATGACTATGGCCTGCAGGTGAATCATGCTTTCCCTGGCTCAGTGAGCGCCTGGTGGGCTCACTGTCCTCTCCTGTCAGTTCCTGGGTTGAAAAGGGTTTTGCACAATCATCACTTGAAGAGTCTGGGTGAGACGGTGTTTTGCACAATCACTTGAAGATTTAAAATCCACTCCAAGCAGGAGAGGCACACGGAAAATGTTGGGGTCACACTACCTTCAGCTGTAGCACCAGGTCCATTCTGTATTTGCCAAGAGGGTTGATGTCATTCAGAATCAAGGCGATGATGATGTCAATGCCATTTGACTCGTGAGTGGCGATACAGGTCTAGAAAAGGAGATATCTGTAAAACGGCATGCTATTTTGACACAGCACTAGACGTGGTCACAGAAGACTTGAAACTTTCAAATACCAGGTACAGACAATGTTGGACATTTTGATTAGTTTTTTTGGGGGGGAGTGGGGTCTATCAATTGACTGGTACTGGGCACAAAATACTAACACATTGCGAAAGACACTTATCTTTGACACAAAGAACTGCAGAATTCCAAAGAGGACTGGGTAACTTAAAACTCCCCCAGTCACTAATGCAAAATGAGATTCTGGAACTGTGAATTTTAAGGTGCAATAAATATAAGAGGACAAGAAAAATGGGATTGTAGATGAATTTCACAAAACTCGGAGCAGATGTGACTTCGTGTCCTGGGTGGTGGGAAAGTTCACAGGGTCCTTGGACTTGCATATTTGTGGAGGGAATGTGGTTGAACAAAGTAGAAAAACACCCGCGCAGAGAGTGCTGTGTGTGCTCTGAGGGTGAAAAGCCACTGTGTGAGGATTTCAAGCTTCGTTCTATGGAAGCAGCATGAGGACTTCTAAGCCACATGAGCAGCTTGAGAAACTGACACCCCAGTGCGTCACACAAGAAAGGACAGCCCCAGCCAATAGGACAGCTTGGCCTGGGCATTTGTGCAGAGGAAAGCTATTCCCATCCAACACTGACATTATGTCCTGAGGCTTCTGCTCATGGGAACACCAGCCAAATGGACCTTCCACACATTTTCAGAGCATGGGGGATTATCCAGGTAGGACTTGTTATTTTATTATACATTTTTACTGAGAACTTACTTGGTTTCATTAAGGAATTTCAAAACCTAATTTCATTGTTAACCACAAAGTAAGGAATGCTCAGTCAGACTTTTCACAAAATGGGAAACTAGTGTGGGTGTGTGTGTGTGTGTGTGTGTGTGTGTGTGTGTGTGTAACATTTTCTACAATAGAGAGAATTTTATCAACAAGACCAAACTCTGAATTTCTGTACTGTGCATTGACTTTGAATCAGCAGCCAAGGATGTCTTTGTCATTGTTGTAGGAAACTAAAATATAATCTTGAAAATTAGGGGGAAAGATCTGAAAATCCTTTTAGTGTCATAAACACATTACAGAGAAGGAAGTAATAACCTTACATGATCGACGTGTTTCCACCATATGAACCCATGGATGTATACATATTGTGTGTGTGTTCAGACATATGTGTACACACAGACATAGTATGTGTGAGGAAAGTCATATAATCTACAATAGAAAAGCTGAACTTTTCCTTTCTACACCAACCACTGATGTTTAGTGTCAATCGCAACTTTAAAGTTTATGTCTAGAAATGATTGACATGGAGACTCCGCCCTAAACCTTGCCTGTGTTGGAGGCTCCAAGATGCTTCATAGATGCTAAAAAGCTGTCAAAATGACATCATCCCCTTTATTCCCTTATATGTTCTGTCTTCTCCCATAACGTGTCCTTCAAGTGGAGCAAGGTACTCTGGGAGCTGGAGGTGAACATTGGGTCTCTCACACATGCATATATAGCATCAAAGGGGCTCAGAAAGTACTCTGCAGCTTTTTTTTCTGCAGCTCGCTGAAGGCAGCACTCTGAGACACTGCAAAGTCAGGTGAGCTCTGGGTCAGAAGCCACTGACTGAAGGACAGTAGCGAGACCCACTTGATATGCTCGCCAAGCGTGTAACATGGGTATTAGACTAGCTTACCTGGTGTGTAACACAGGTATTAGACTAGCTCACCAAGTGTGTAACATGGGTATTAGACTAGTTCATTGAGTGTGTAACACGGGTATTAGTCTAGCTCAATGAGTGTCTAACATGGGTATTAGACTAGTTCATTGAGTGTGTAACACTGGTATTAGTCTAGCTCAATGAGCGTGTAGCATGAGTATTAGACTAGCTCACCTGGTGTGTGACACGGGTATTTGACTAGCTCAATGAGTGTGTAACATGGGTATTAGATTCCTCCCACACTGCAGTAGAGCCAAAGCCACAGTGAGTTAATTCCACACATCTGGAGAGATTCCCTACAGAGAGAAACTGAACACTGGGAGGAAATACAATCTTGCCCTTCTTTTGATAAGTCTTTCATCTTAAATATTTTCACGGGAATCTTCTTTCATGATGAAATTTAAAATGTGGCCTAACATTTGCTAGTCTACAATTCCACCTTTGTATGTTTTGTAAGAGAAGTGGCAATGCCTGGCAGAGTGAGCAGGAAGGCTTCGAAGGTACACAACGCTGGCTCTATGCCTAGCCTGGCACACCGTGACTCACGTCTCATGAAGCTCTGCAGTCATGGTTACCTGGTTTTCATGGCACGGGCCCTGGCAGTACTCCGTCAAGCTCTCCAGGGTCTGGTTCACCAACGCTACATTCTTCTCATTGATGTAGAGCCCCAGCAGGCCCAGGCCGCCTGTGGTGCTTCCACAAATGCAGTCCAGAAACTGCAGCGTCTCACACACAAGATTGTAGTTTGTTTTGTTGTTCTGATTCCTCAAGAAGTTCTGGGGGGGGATGAAAGAAAGTGCAACTGAGAGACGGAAAGCAAAACACAGAAAAAGGGGTGCTGGCCATGCTCTCTCTCTCTCTCTCTCTCTCTCTCTCTCTCTCTCTCTGTGTGTGTGTGTGTGTGTGTGTGTGTGTGTGTGTGTGTGTGTGTGTTACTCAAAAAGATTCTTGCCAGTATGGAATTCAATTGGTCTTCACAAGAAATTGGAACACCTTGGGGAAAGTGGGGGGACCAACACAAAAGGGGAGCAATCAGGGGACATACTGGTGTGACTATGTCTAAGCAAACGATAGGGATGAGACTGTCATAATAAAACTCCTTGTTTTTCAGAGGGGAGGAGGCAGAGCGGAGGTTGGGGGGAGGGGACTGGGAGAAGAGGAAGCAGGGGAATCCACAGTTGGGATGTAAAATAAATAAATAAAATTTGAAAAACAGACTCATTATTTTCCAAGCTAATTTGAAAACTAAGTAATATTTAAATATCGATACGCTAAGTTAAGTTTCTCTTAAGAGAGGCCCTCAGGTTGTAGTGTAAGCACCTTCAGAACAGGTCATAGTAAACGCTGCTCCACTGCCATCATTTTAAGCCTACAGAGGGTGGAAGGGAGTGTGAAAAGTAGAAAGGAAAAGGAGAACAAAATCTGGGGGAGGGGGTCTAACTTCCAAACGAACCGTCCCTGACAACCGTGTCTTCGCTGTGCAGGGTCCGTCAGGCCGTGGTATGGGAAACATGAAGCCCTACTAGGCTTCTCAGGGAAGAGTCCCACTTGTGTGGATGATCCTAAATCTGTGTAGATATACACAAAAGATCCTCACTGCTCACTGTCTGTTAGGCGCCATGGCCTTATCCCTGGCAGCGTGATGGTTTTGGGATCTTAGGAAGCACTTCCATATGTATGGATGGGCACCACCAAGAAATAAGCAGTGTGGCAGTACATGAAGTTACTAAATTAAACAGTCGAGACTACTTAGGTTTACATGCAAAGATCACCGTTTGTACATAGGATTTTCTGGAAGAAAACAGTGTTATTAGTGCACTTTGGGGAATACGCTAAAGAAGAGAAAGAATGGGGAAGAGAGGGGATCTTGTATTTTAATGTACTTACAGATATCTATTTGAATTTGCTTTAACTATTTGTTCTTAGTATCAAAGTAGCCTTATACATTATCTGAACCAGCTTCTGTGAGTGGCACAGTCAGATATGACATCATCTGCTCTGCCGTCTGTGACCCACATTGGCAGGGCCCGTAGGTTGCACTGAGCAAGCAGGCAGCACACACTGCAGAAGCTTGACCTAAGCGGTGGCAGGCTGGTCCACATGAGCCACGCTCGCTCCTCATGCATTCCAGAGCATCTCATCGCCACGGACAGCACTTTGTCTTGCCTTTCGGATCCTCTGCGTTCTAGACAACAGTGAACACATCTCCTCACTCTGCCTCTCTCTGTGTGGACAGATGCTCTGAGAACCAGATTGCTTAGTGACATTACAAGGTAGGAGATCCTAGGCGGAACCTACTGCAGAAATCTCAGCCAGTTCTCTGCAATTCATTAATAAAGATCATTTGCCAGCTACACTAGCTTGCAGCATGGCAAAGCGGGCTGGCGTGGTGGCCCTGTGTCTTTCTTGGAAGCAGTCTGCCAAATGGAAGCTCTTCAGGTGAGCATTCTCAATCTCCCTCAGTCAGGCCAGTCAAGATAGCTCCTTTCGTGTGCCTCTGCTATGGCACCATGGGCAACGTCATGCATACACATAACGCCAGGGAGGTAGTCAAAGCCTGGAGCAGCCCTCGTCCACCCACCCCGTCTGACAGAGGAAATGGCAGTGGTGGGTGGAGATGTTATGGATGTGGGCTGCATTAATTAGCAAAGCAATTTTCACTATCATAGTAATGCTTTATATGACTTTGTTTCTAATGAAACGTAAAATATATTCAATATTGTGCCAACAACTACGGATTGGGAACAATGTAAACACCCGAGTCTAAAACCATGAACTGCAGACAAAGATGGCCGTCCTGAACAAACACTGCAGAGGAGAGGGAAGGGGCTCAGTGGTGCTATAGGATGTGTACATTTGCTTGTTTTTTAATGCCTAAACATTTTGACTCTTATTTTTTCTTCCTTACCATTTCAACAGGGCACTGGTGTCTTTGTTGATTATTTCTCCAGAATCCTCTCCTAAATTCCCTTGGATGACTCACAGTCACAGGCTACAGAGCTCACCCACAGAGAGAAGAGGACTCACCTGTAGCTCCCGGTTGTGATTCTCACACAGTAACTGCAGGAACCTGAGGATGGGCTGCATGACGGTGATGGCTGGGCTCATGGTAATTTCCTCGGCAGACTTTTCCTCTGCACTCCCCGCTTCTGGGCCTGGGCACATCATGTCTATCTCTGGGTCCATCTCTCGTCTGTACACACAGTAGGCTTTGGAGGTGGCTGAGGAGGCCTCTGTTAGCTGTCCCTTCATTCCCTCTTTCAGGTGAAGTGATGGATCTCTCACTGAAAAGCAAGAAGTAGCTGGATTTTGAACTAATTTTTTTTAACTACCCCACAATAAGAATCCAAATTTTCCCACAGCTGAATTTTAAAATTATCTAACAAGATGTTTAACGGTTTCCTGGGGGGGACACAACAGCTAAAAAGTTAATACAGCAATCTGAAGAAAAGCTCTTTATATTTAATCAATTTTAGAATTTTCTGACTCATAAATCTATATCACAAAGACACATAAGAATGTGTAAAAACACATACAGATGACTTCACAAGGACATAACCAAAGGGCTGGACAGGTGGTGTGTTAGTTGCTTTTCTATGGCTGTGCTTAAACACCCTGACCAAAAGCAAGCTGGGGAGGAAAGGGTTTATTTCATATTGTGATAGATATATCACAAGATTTCACACACACACACACACACACACACACACAGGAACTGAAGCAGAGGTCATGGAGTGCTTACTGGTTTGCTCAGCCTGCTTTATTATAGAACCCAGAACCCAGGAAGGCACTATCCACAGTGGGCTGATCCCTCCAACATCAACCATTAATCCAGAAAATGCCCCACAGACTCCCCTACAGGTCATTCTTATGGAGGCATTTCCTCAATTAAGATTCCCTCTTCTGCAGGGCATTGGTGGCACATGCCTTTAATCCCAGCACTCGTGAGGCAGAGGCAGGCGGATCTCTGTGAGTCCAACGCCAGCCTGGTCTCTAGAGCGAGTGTCATGATAGCTCCAAAGCTACACAGAGAAACCCTGTCTTGAAACCCCCCCCTCCAAAGGAAGGAAGGAAGGAAGGAAGGAAGGAAGGAAGGAAGGAAGGAAAGTATCCCCTCTTCCCAGTTATGTCTAGCTATGTGTCAAGTTAAAACAAAAAACAAAAACAAAACAACAACAACAAAAAAAAGGACAGATAGCTTAGCAGGTAAGAGCCCTTGCTGCTCGACCAGAGGACTGGGTTCAGTTCCCAGCACCCATGTCAGGCTGCTCCTAGCCTTCTATAGATCCAGTTTCTAGGATCCCACACCCTCTTCTGGTCTCTGTGGACACCCATACACACATGTGGCACACACAGAAAGAACAAGAATGTATAAAGAAACACATGTGTGTGCACACACCTAAGAATTCCTATAGATCTCATAGGAGAGAATGATCATTTGCAAAATATTAACACCTCCACAAATTGTATTTAGCTGGCAATCATCTGGTTATATCAAACGCAAACACTTTCTGTCCTCAGAGTTTAATTTCCATTCCCAGAAAGTTTGGGATGGTTTTCTTACTGAACAGAACAAGGAAATCAAACGTCTTTCATGTTGCCCATTGCTTCCACACCAATTAAACTCCATTTTAGTTTGGTCCTGCAGAGCTAGTCTAGGGTCAAGCCCTTAACCAAAATCCTTTACCGCTGGAAGTCCACACTGGAAACACTGGGAATAATTAAACCCCAGAAGCAAGATGACAAAGCTACATGAGATTTAAATGCTTCCTTGCTTTCTTCTCCCAGGTATTCAGGAAGCTCCTCACCTCTCATCCGAGGGCCTGAGGCCACGAGGTCATTGTCATCGTCTCTCTTCTTGCTCCCTAAGTCTATGGTGTTGACAGTCACCGTGGATCTGATCTCTTTCTGAGCGGCCTTCATCCGGTCATAAAGGACTTTGAAGAATTTTTCTGACTTCTTTTGTTCATGCAACTGCTGGTAGAAAGAATACTGCAGAGAAAGCATAGTTTAAAGTATCAATCCCTGAGGCAAGAGAAATAGTGGTTTACTCTGAAATAAACACGTGCCTGACAGATAAAAAGCACAGTGTGCTACCTTTTATTTATTCTACAAATGGACAGGCTGTCAGTGTCTCATTCCACTTAATACACACTAATAGCACATGTCATTATATTAATAACAGCCAGTTTTACTTAGCACCTCCCACTAAATTCTAACCTTTTATATTCTATTTGATATATCCTCCTGAATGTATGTTTTAATTATGAGTCTAGTAAGTTGTCATCTAAAGCTGTGCATTGATTCAACACACATTTATTGAAAGCCTACTATGTGTAGGGTCCTATATTTTTGCTACAGACAAAACAAAAAGAAAAAAATGGCAAGACTCCTACCCACATGAGTTTGTAATCCAAAGTGAAACATGATCACTCACTTATGACTACCCCGGACAAATAAGGGCTCCCTGTTAGGTGACAAAGTTATTTTTCTTGATAGTACATTTAATTTAGGATGCGTTACCATAACAACTTCACTCACGGGCACCCACTGGTAAATAGGTTTTAAGTTGCTTAGCTACTTCTTAAGCAATGATGCTCTACGTGTAGTTTAGGGAAAATTGACTGAAAACAAACTCCAGTTTATCATTAATGATTCAGGGAGGATTTAAGACCAAAAGCGTGGCAAGAGGTACCTTCCCGGAGAGGGAAATACTGAGCTGCGGTTACTCGTCACCGTGTGCTTGGTAACTTTATGGAAGGATTCGTAAGACTTGACAGGAGATGGAGGAGGGGATGCAGTCCAGAGGAGACACCCCTGAGCAAGTGGAACCAGCCACACCCCCAAATAAAATCTAAAGAGGCAGGTTGGTGGGGTCTGACAGCTGTGCACATGTTTTCCTACAGGAATGGCCGGAGCGGAGCCAGGCCCTACCCTAGACAGAACTCTAAAGTCTAGGTTACACGTGCAGCATCTACACACAGTGAGTTTTACACAGCCTTCAAGCATCAGCTTCATGTCTGTTAGGGGATGCTCCTAAGCAGAGAGCTAGCAACTCTACAGGAGCAGGCCAAAAAAAAAAGAAAAAAGAAAAAAGAAAAGAAAAGAAAAAGAAAGCCCCACTGTAACCATGGCAACGACACTGAGACAGTCAAGCTGGTTCTGATGGCTTGCAGGATAAATGCAGCATCCACAGACCTTTATGGTCCCACGAATTAAGCTGATGCTTGAGCTCTAATCTTTGTAACGCAGTCTGGCTGGAAGGGGGAAGGGAGGGTGTAAAACGTTAGTAGGAAAGTCGCAAAGTCATGGCAATGCCACAGCTCTGTGAGGACAAAGCTGTCAGGGCCCCACTCACACCCACCCTCTCGAGGACACTGTCAGCCCCTGTGATGAGTACGGTCTTCTCATTCCGGGCACATGGTATTGATTAAAAAAATGAGATGCTGTGAAGCAGAGGGATTTGCCACATGTTATGTAATACTCAATAGCCTGTATATTATATTTTATTTCTATTTCTAACAAGGCCTTACTCAACAGCCCAGGGCAGCCTCAAGTGATCCTTCTGGCTCATCCTCTGGGTATGGAGTGACCCATAATGCCTAGCTTTTATTTCTCTTATTATTAGTGTCTGAAGTTGTAATTTCTTCTATCTGCCTCCACCACCCCGCATCTGATGGAGCATATTGGGCGCAGGAAGTGACTTGTGTAGAAAGGGACCAGGGATTCTCTCTGGTCTAGAATACCTGGGGGGGGGGGGGCTGGGCAGCTCAGACAGTCCACAAACTGTTAAGTGAAACACTAGTGACTAAAGGAAATTAAGAATATTAAATTCGGGGCTGGAGGGATGGCTCAGTGGTTAGGAGCATTTGTTGCTCTTATAGAGGACCCCGAGTTCAGTTGTCAGCACGCACATGGAATCTCGCAACCATCTGTAACTCCAGCTTCATGGGATCCAAGTTCCTCTTCTGGCCTCCACAGGCACTGCACATACGTGGTGCACTTACATACATTCGGGCACTCAACATACACATGAATCTTTTTTAAAAAAAAATGTAAAATCCCTGTGGAACTGGAGAAGTCTGGGGGAGTGAGTGGTGAGAATGAGAATGCCCCATGAGCGTGTGCGTTTGCACGCGTGGTCCCCAGCCAGCGACACTGTTGGTAAGGTTATGGAACTTTTAGAATTTGAAGCCTTTCTAGAGAGAGTATGTCAATGAGGTCGAGGGACTTTGAGGGTCTCCAGCCCCACCACACTGCCAGGTTCCTCTCTCTGCTTCCTTTGTGTGGACGGAGATGTGACCTCTCCCCCTCCTGCTCCAGCCACCTGCTGCCAGGCCTCTCTAATTATTGTGAACTGACCCTTGGGAGCCATAAGCAAAGCAAGTTTTTCCTTCTATGAGCTGCTTTGTCGTGGTGCTTTATCCCAGCAACAAATAGTAACTAACATAGTGGGGACACATCTGAGTCACTAAAGGGGAGAGGTAGATTCAGCAGGTCTGATCTAGACCTCTTAAAGCCACGGCATACAGCTGACATCTAGGGACATTCTGATGACATCATGAGGTCCCTAAATCAGAGACCTAAGCAGCAGAACCTACAGAGTCAGGTTTCCTTAAGCAACAAGGGGATTTTCATGCACAGACTTGAATTAATGGTGTTTCTTCAACAGTTCTGTGTGACTTTTGTTTTCTTTTTCTTTAGATTGAAGCCATGGCCTCGGAAATGCTACACACATGCTTACTACTGAGCTACAGGCCCAGCTCTCCTTTTACTTTTAAGCTTAAGACCTGCTTTCACTAAGTTCACCAGACCAGCCTTGAGCTTGCTCCTTAGCTCAGGTTTCCCTTGAACTTGTGGTCCTCTGGACTCAGCCTCCTGAGCAGTTGGGATTACAGATTTGTATCACCAGCCAGTGTGTGTGTGTGTGTGTGTGTGTGTGTGTGTGGGTGTGTCTGGTTGTGGTGGTGTTGGTGTGTGTGTGTGTGTGTGTGTGGTGGTGGTGGTGGTGGTGTGTGTGTGTGTGTGTGTATGTGTGTGTTCATGTGTGTGTATGTGTCTGTACGTGTGTGTGTGTATGTTCGTGTGTGTTTGTGTGTGTGTGTGTGTGTGTGGTGTATGGTTTAGGGAGGTGATATGTATTGAACAGCTATAAAAGACTATGAAAATAAAAAGTAGGCTATAACCCTCTACAAATATTAGAAAATTAACTGGAGAGACATAATGTAAGACAGACAATAAAATAAAGGAACACAGAGAGGGCTCCAAGTGAGAAACAAGTGCAGTGAGGCTCGCCAGGGAGCAGCTGCCACTTGCCCAGCTAGAAGAGAAGGCTTCATCACAACCAATTTCTCATCAGCATATCCACCACTGAATAGTTACTGGGCATTAGCGCTCCAAACACAAACAGCAAAGCAATGAAGATGTGTTCCAAACCTTCAGGAATGGAATCTGGGGACACCTGGAGAGGTGCTGTGACATGATAGAAACACTACCCAAAGCACCAGGAAGTCACAGCAAGGTCATGCAGTAACTGGCAGTCAGCTCTGCCCAGTGAGACAAGGGCCTGAAAGCGATTCTGAGAGAAGCACTGACGGGACAGACAGAATGACAGATAGCCTGAGCATATGAGGGACCTGCATCAGGAAGAATCCCATGAGTTCAGCAGGGAGTCTGACTTTCCTGGGAAGAGAGATCTGAAGCAGGGGTATAACATAGTGTTATTAAAAAATGTCACTGGAGGCAACGAAAAGAACGTTAGAGGGAAGGCAAAAAGGAAGCTGGGAAACTTGGTCCCCGTGGAGCGAACGGTAAGGAGTTGTGACGATGGCTTGAGAAGCAGGGATTGAAGAGTTAGGGATAGAAGCGATATCAGAAGGGCAGAATCACCCAGGTTTGTCATCAAGGGATGACCAACAAGGAGACAGGGTGACCAGTCAGTCAAAAGTGACAACCAGAAGGCACGGTGCCAGTCACACGAGGCTGGAAGAGAAGCTGGGGGCAGCGGCCAGGGGGAGTTGCAGGGTCCAGGTAGTAAAGGTTACAGAACAAACAATTTCCCAGTGATCAGGACTACAGAAACATAAGGCAAATGAAGACTGAAGACTGGATCTCGGGAGCAACGCTCTGGCATTTAATAAGTGGAGCCTGGAGTTCTCCTGGAGCTAGCCCGCACCATCGGCACCCATGTGAGGATGAAGAGCGTTCCCCTGGGATGACCCTCTGCAGCCCAGGGAAATGTAGAAAGTGCAGCTGGGTGACTGTTGCTAGAGATGCCAGTTCAAGCCAGTTCACACCGGTGCTACACTGCTGCCTTTTTTGCTGTCTCTTCAGCCTTTGTCCCCAAAGCCCTGCTATCAAACCGGTCTCTCATACAGAAAAGCTCCTGTTGTTAAATGTACCGGTAACAAATTAAAGCAAAATACCCCAGTTTTGAATCTGACTGGGCTTCTGCCTGCCGCTCCTGGGGCCAATAGGTTTGGGGATTTCTAGCCATCTGGGGCTATGCATTGCTTCATGGCTTAGGAAGATATAGGAAGGTCAGTGAGCCAGGAAGTTCAGAAGTGCTCCCTGGGAAGTTTCCAGAGCCCGGGCTCGTGCAGCACACTGTTGGGTGCAAAGGAGCCAAGCAGAACCTGGCAGGGGTCGCCAAGGGACAGGAGTGCAGCTGGACAGTGTCATGTCCTTGGTACGCACATACACAGCACCTACCACCACTGTAGAGCATGTGACACAGCGCCCACTGCCACCGTAGAGTGCGTGACACAGAGCCCTCTGCCACTGTGGAGTGGCTCCTGATGCAGAATGAGCTTCAAACGATGTTCTGATTAGAGCAAGGGGGAAGCCCTATCATTTCAATAGCAAATCACATAAATTTATAAGGGAAATGTGATTTGTGAGTTCTTTCATTTTGTTTGAGCCAGCAAGGGGAAGCTAAAAGGATACGTTTCCCTGGTTCCTTTAACCAGTGATCAAGAAACAGGAAAGACTATAGGAGTTGGAGGTCAGGGAGGACCAGAGCAAAAACAGGACCACAGCACCCATGAGCTCACAGCGGTTGTGGCTGTCCGCACGCGGCCAAGCCAGTGAGTGTTCCAGCATTGGGTGGGAAGGTTGTGTGCCCTCAACCCTGGCTGGGATCTGTGGGTGTGATCTGGCTGCTGGGGCAGGAGAGTTAGTTTTCTTTAAGGGGTGGCTCCTGATAGGTTAACCAAGCTCCAGAAGACGGCTCGGCACACAGGGTATCTGAGCAGCACAAACTGTCATCCAAAGTTTACTGGTTTGGCAGGGGGAGAAGACACAAAGTTAGGGGGGGTTGGGGGGCGGAGTGGATAGTGAAGAGTTAGAGAGAGGAGTGGAAACAGGAGATGTGAACATTGTATGAAATTCTCAAAAACAAAAGTATTCTTTAAAAATATATAGAAATCACAACCCGAACAGCACTAGCAACAGACGAGCACCTGGGTCTGTGTGTTTCCTCCTTCCAGCAAGGCGATGCCAAGCAAAATGCCTTCGGAGAAAATCCTGTCATTTTTGGTGTTCACTATGACATCGATGACAAGTTCGGATGCTCCTTCTTTGTCCAGCAGACACTGGATGTCAGACATGGAAATCCCCATCTTGTCCGAGTCCTGTCCAGAGAAGCCTCCTGTGGTCGGGGAAGAGAAACACAGAACAGCAACTCGAACTTCAGCACAGACATTGTTTTTAGCAGCAAACAGTGTTTTCAAATTCTTAAACCATAACAACATGAGCCACAGGAGAGTTTAGTTACAAATATAAAAAATCTACAAAGATGGAACTCTTAAACATCCAATATGCAATTCAATGTCACCAACTGTCATTCCTTTAAGTACTCTAGAAAGAGCTGCAGAGGTGGCTCGGTGGTTAAGAGCACTGGTTGCTCTTGCAGGGGACCTGGGTTTGATTCCAGCACCACTTGGTGGCTCACAACCATTTGTAATTCCAATTCAAGGGACTCCAATGGTCACCAGGCACACATGTGGTGTGCAGACACACATGGCAGGCACTCATACATATGTATAAGATAAAAATAAATAAATCTCTATAAAAATATTCTACAAATTTTGTCTTTAATACGTGCATGAAGAAATTGTGAGGAAACCACCCAGAATCAAAGACAAAATCCACGATAATGCTCAACCTATGGATGGATTCATGAACCCCAACTACACAAACATTTCACTCGTGTTTTACGTGAATATTTTACACTTGGATCATTTAACTAAGATAGCGGAGCAGCACTGCCATGAAGATAATGCCGTGAGACCCTAAAATGGGTGGAAGAACACGTACCTCCCACTTGTGCTGTCTTGGCATAGGCCCCTGACAGAGGTCCATTGGCACCAACGCCATGGTCACCTTTGAAGTAGCGGTTCAAGAGGATTTTCCGGAGTATGCTACCCTGGAAAAGGAGAGCTGTCATCATTTTTAAAAATACAAGTAAAGAAGGCTGACAGCTAAATGCAAATGTATCTGAAGCAAAAACGTGAAAAAAAATAATTTGACGCCAGATCAGTATTTTCCGAGGGAAAACTGCAAAGGTCCCAGTAACGGTAATCAATTTTATAATCATGAAGTGAGTGATCATGAGGTCCCCTCATCCCAGAAGTCAACAAGCTGTACACAATTAACACATGCTGACTGGAGAGCCGTAGAGCTGGCTCAGTGGGTGAGGGAACTTTCTGTCTAGTCTGAAGACACGAGTTCAAACCCTGGGATGCACTCTGTAGAAGGGGAAACCTGACCTGACTCCTGAAAGTTGTCTTCTGACTTCTACGTGCATGCTGTGGTATGCACATGCACACACACACAACAAATAAATAACATAAGCCAGTTATACATGTATGAATGCATGCATGTATGTATATATGTATGTGTGTATGTACACATTTATATTTAGAGCCAGGGAGATGACTTAGTGGGTGGAAGCTCTTGAGCCAAGTCTGACAACCTGAGCTTAATCCCTGGGACGCACGAACACAGTAGAAGGAAAGAACCAACTCCTACACACATGTGCTGTGTCGTGAACATGACCCCCCAAACATACACACACACATTAAATCAGTGTAATAAACGTGAGTTTGCTCAATGGGAAAAGCTGGGGGTTCTAGTGCTGAGAATATAGTGCCCAGAGAAGATAACAGACACCCTAAGGACTGAAGGCTGAAGCCTCAGAGCTGGGAATACAGCTCGTGCTCAGAACATTAAACTTGACAAAATAAAGTGGACTCTATGGCTGGGTTCTATACAGACAGCAGGCAAAGGACAGTATATGTCTTCATAAATGGACTTTTTAAAATCCTGTCTTCCACACTTTAAAACAAGGAGGAGGAGGAAAAGGAGACGAGGGGTACAAATAGGGAAGGGGGAGGAGAAAAACAAAATACCATGTTTCTCTCACATAGGGAATCCAGAATCAAATACATACATCTATTATACATATACACGCGTGCACATACGTGCACATATGAAAATAGATGAGGGGCTATTAGCGGGTGGGAGGACCTGTGAGAGGGGGCAGCAGGGACGTGTAGAGAGGAGGGTGGGGGCTACGAACAAAGTAGAACAATAAATGCATATAAAATGTCCTAGGAAAGCCATTATAGTCTATGCTAACTGGAAATTACTTGAAAAGGTAAATATACTTGCTCTCCTGCCTGCAGCTGCTGACACTAGCCCTGCTCCTGAGGTGGTACCCCATATTTCAGGGAAGAAACCTGAGACACAGTTCACAGGCCTCAAGCAGGGATGCACTCTTGTGTCTATAAACCCCAGGCATGTCCAGGTGCCTGCTCCACGATTCCCTAGTGTTTTCCATATGTCCCGCCCCTCCAAATCTCACAGGATCCTCTCCAGTGCTGTGACATCTGACTCCTAGAACCTAGGGGCTTGCCCCTGGGTCCTGATGTTGGTCTATCCCCTCCCCCTTCCTGTCCCCCTCCCCCTCCCTCTCTCCATCTGCAGTGGCTTCTCTTTCTCTGTTAGACAGTAGCCGCTGTGCCCCTGAGCTCGCTTGCCTAAGCCTCTCGTTGCTTCCCTTGGATTTCTTGTCTCTGTCTTGCACTGGCACGGGAAACTCAGAATGGAACATTCCTTCTCTCTTGAATCTGTTTTCCTCTCTGCATTGAGTCATTGTAAGAGCAACACCGTCACCCCGGCTGCTCGCTGACAATGGCTTCTGAATCCTACCTTTGCATGGGAGCTCCTGGGTGCCTTTGATGCTATATTTGAACCAAACTAAGGTATGTTTTCTGCATCTTCCTGTTTGTGTAAGGACAAGGCTTGTCTTCCCTCTCCGGTCTCCATGCTGCCCGGGAGCTACTCCTTCAGGCACCATTCCAAGTGAAGAGGTAGAAGCTTCCTGGATGTCAATTTGATTAAACTTAGGGTCACCATGGCAACACACCTCTAGGTGTGCCCATGAGAGTGTTTCCAGGAAGTTTGACTGGGGAAGGAAGACCTTCCTTATTGGGAACAGAACCATCTCATGGATTGGGGTCTCAGAATTAATCAAAAGGAAAAGGCATTCATCTCCCTCTGCTTCTTGCCTATAGATGTGATGTCACTTGTCACTAGAGCCCTCACACTCACACTTGTGAACCATATCTTCCCTGCCACCAAGCCTGCACCCTCAGAGTGAGTCACAACAGACTTTCCCAACCTTGAGTTGCTTTTGTTGAGTATTTCATCACATCAAAGAGTAAAGTAACCAACACAGCGTTAAAGAGTTTACAGTGAGATGGGCTCCTTCACTGTTATGTGTGAGGCTCTGGAGGCTCCAGAAGCCCTTAAAGGAGGGAGGCTGACCCCAGCAGGCTGTGCAAGTCACACACACCCATGATCTTGCCCAGTGAGCAACAGAATGCCCCCGGTGTTACTGCGCTGAGAACTTCATGGACTCTGTGCCTGCAATTGTTCATTTTTGCAATGATATTTTATTGATGCTTTTATTCTTGGAGCACAGACTGTCACTGCTTCTCATCTTGTGTTTTCTCCCTCTAACACCTTTTCATGTAAGGCTGCAGTACATAAAAGTAATGCCAAGGCTTAGAAGAGACTAGGGAGGGAGAGCTGACTTCCCCATGGATGTACCTCCGCTGTCCTCTATTAGACCTACAGAACCCAAGGGCTCAGCGATGGAGAGGGAAGGCTGCTCTTGCAAAGGACCTGGATTCAGTTCCCAGCACCCATTCATGTCAGGTAGTTCATGGCTCCAGGGCATTGGAGGGATGATGGGGAAAGTCCATAAAAATCTATTTAGCAGGAAGATAGGCGGGGCTAGGAGATGAGGAGAATTCTGGGAAAGGTAAGTGGAGAGCCCGCCAGAGATCAGTCTCCATGTAGACCAGAAAAGAGTAACAGGTCTGGGCATTCTCTTAGTAAGCCAAGACCATGTAGAAATACACAGATTAGTAGTTATGGGTTAATAATTAAGACAGAGCTAGCCAATAAGAAGCCCTAGCCATCAGCTAACAGTTTAATAATTAATATAGTGTCTCTGTATACTCATTTGGGGCTGAAGCAGTGGGACCTGGTGGGACAAGAGAATCTCCACAACAGAGGAAAACTGCACTAATGTACACACACACACACACACACACACACACACACACGTGCACACACACTCACACACACACACACACACCACACACACACATTATTGAAAGTAGATCTTTTAAAAAACCACCCAAGGAGCCCAAGGATGCTCTTAGCTAAAAATAAGCATTACTTCCTCTGTTCTTTCTTTTAAGGAAGGGTCCCTTAAAAGAAACTATCTCTGTCTCTCTAATGAACTATTCTCCAAAACCAGGGACAAACATGTCTTTGGTTTGTCTCTCAATGGCAGGAGGTGAGGCCATGAGAGTTTTGGGACTCACTACTGGGACTGAAGTCATCAGAGAGACCTGGAAGCCTGAGGCCTGTCGTCTTGCTGCCACCGCCACCCCGTTACTGCTGCCGCTGCTGTTCTGAGACAGTCTCACTCTAGAGCCCAGTATGGCCTTCAACTCATTGCAATCCTCCTGCCTCTGCCTGCAGAGTGCTGGGGTTCCACATGCACCACCATGCCCAGAAAACACTGATTTAAGAGTCGCCCTGCCTGTCATGAACACTATTCATGTCTCTCCTACACACACTGGTTGGCATAACCCCACAAGACAAGCTGGGGTGCCTATAAGGACTGAGGAAGATAGGAGTTGAAGCAAGCTCTCTTCTTGAGCAGTCAGTGTTGGTGTCCACAAAGAACCTGTCGTGAGTCAAGTCTGGATCCTGTGAGTCGGTTTCTGTAAGAAGCTGTCATTCACACCTTCAATATATTTCCCCAAAATTCCAACCAAGAAAAAAAAATCACCCTTCTACTGCAGGCAGGAGGAAGAGGAAGAGAAATAATAGATTTGTGAAGAGAGACCCATAGACTTAGTACATGGGAGGCCAAAGCAGGAGGATTGTCATGAAGGAGAGGCCAGCCAGCACTACAGAGTGAGTTCCAGGAACCCGAGTTACAGAGTGAGTGAGAGACCTTGCCAGAAATAAAGCCAAAAATGTTTTAACACTATATTATTGCTTTTTTTTTAAAAAAAGCATCCCTTATAGGTTAAGAAGAATAAAGTATTTTTAAAATCCAGAGCAGAACAGCTACATCACGCTAAAATAATGATTATATTTGCCAACACTGTAAAACCCTCTTAGGCAGGTAAAACAGGCTGGTAAGCACCAGTCACCAAGAAAGCCTCCTTCACGGGTCCACAGCACTCAGAAGGTCCACGGTGCATTTCCCGACAAATATCAGAATGTCACAGAATGGGGAAGACAGCGATTGAGCCTCCTATGGACCCACAGTGCCCAGGTTCAAATGTCCCTGCGTGCTGTATTAACCAGGGGATCTCACACAAGCTACCTCACCACCCTGAGCCTCAGCCCTCAGCTGTCAAATGAAGCAGTAGTTGACCCTTCTTCCTGTGGCTTCTGTGATCGGCATAGTTCCCAGTGTGGACTAAGGGCGGACACAAAGTCAATGAGCAAAGTCAATGGCATCCCTGCCGTGTAACACAGCCGAGCACACAGAAGCACAGGGCTTTGCACTGATGTACATTTCCTGAGCTCACACCAAACTTTCCTACAGAAGTGAAAAGTTTATATTGAGAAGAGGGAAAAAATTATCAACTACCTCAAAACCCTAGCTTTTCCCTGTTAATCATAGTGAGTGAATACAGAAAAGTCAGTCCAAAGCATGTACATACTGTTGTAATTTTTAAAAAGCGACTCAAGAGAGAGAGACACCATGTGACAAATCAAGAGCAGGGTTTTTTTATTAAGGGAAAAGGATTGCAAAAGGGGAAAAGAGGAGGGGTGAGACTGGCCTCTAGGACCAGGAGCAGAGGGAGAGAGGAAAGAGACAGAGAG